CCTCCACCAGATTCCTCCCCGTCCCCCTCTTTAGGGTCAGCTACGCTGTCTTGTCTGAGTCACTGGTTCTGGTTTTGAATCCTACTCCAGGACTTAAGCAGAAAAATCAAGGCTGATGCTTTAGTGGTATACTGAGAGAGTGCTGCACTGTTGGTGGTGTAGCTTCTGTGATGTGAAACCAAGGTGCTGACTCTGGCTTTGTGAACACTAGTGGTACCTCACTTAAGCGGCAGACTATCCTCCCAGGGGAGGAAACACTTCAACCTTATCTTCTGCTGTCACAACAGGATTTACTAACTCTGTATAGTTTGGGATTTGAGCCTGGAACTTTATGGGTTTATGTACAATCATAGCATGAAGAGAGTCTGTTCATCCCACTAAGCTTGTCCCTGCTCTTTGCTTGAGCCATCCAAAATCCTTCTGTTCCACTCTCTCCCCATAACAACATACTGAGACTCTTGTTCACACTCTGTCTCCATTCTGATATTTATCTTGGCTGTAAATAGCTATCTAGCTTTCCCTTCAAGATTCAATGGTTTCAGCATCAACCAGTTTTTTTTTAATTTGCCCACAGGATGTGGGCTGGCTAGGCCAACATTTATTACCCATTCTGAATGTCCCTTAAAGTTGATGATCAGCTGCCTTCTTGAACTGTTTAAGTCCTTGAAGGGTAGATACGCTGTTTGTGACAAGGCAATTATACCCCAAAAATCCTCTGTTTGAAACATTTAAGTGGAGAGAGATTGCATAATTTAGCTGTACAGAGAGATCTGGGTGTTCTGGCACATGAATCCCAAAGTTTGTACAATAAATGATTAGGAAGGCAAATGGAATATTGGCATATTTTGAGGGACAACAAGACTATAAGAGCACCAGTGTCTTACTGCAGTTGTACAATGTATTGGTGAGGCCACATCTAAAATAATGTGTGCAGTTTTGGAGTCTCAACTTCTATTCACTGCTTTAAAAAAAAAGGTTTGTTCAACTTTATCCTGGGATGATGGGCTCATTTCATAAACAAATGTTGGTTTTAGAATTTAGAAAAATTAGATGATTTTATTGAAACAAATAAGATCCTGAGGGAACTTGATAGGATAGATCCCAGGAAGATGATTCCTCATGTGGAGGAGATTGGAAGTAAGGGCCATAACTTAAAAATAGGTGGTCTCCCTTTTGTGATAGAGATGAAGTGATTTTTTTTTGTGCAGGTTGTTAGTGAATGGAAAGCAACAGAGGCTGGATCATTTTAAATTTTTTAATTCATTCATGGGTTTTGGGCATTGCTTGCTCAGCCAGCTTTTATTTCCCATCCCCAGGTGCCTTTAAGAAGGTGGTGGTGAGCTGCTGCCTCGAACTGCTGGAGTCCATTTGCTGTAGGCACACATCCTGTCAGGGAGGCAGTTCCAGGATTTTGACCAAACGACAATGAAGAAATAGTGACCTATTTCAAGTCAGGATGGTGCATGGCTTAAATGGGGAACTTGCAGGTGGTTGTGTGCTCATGTATCTGTTGTCCTTCTAGATGGAAGTGATGCTGGGTTTGGAAAGCACTGTCTAAGGAACCTTAGTGAATTCTGAAGTGCATCTTGTACACATTATTGGTACTGAATGTCGATGGTGGAGTGAGTGATTGTGGATATAGCGCCAATCAAATGGGCTACTTTATCTTGGGTGATGCCAAACTTCTAGAGTGGTATGGAAGCTGCACCCATCCAGGCAAGTGGGCAGCATTCCAGCACATTCCTGACTTGCGCTTTGTAGATGATTGGCAGGCTTTGGGGAGTCAGGTGGTGAATTACTCACTGCAAGATTCCTTGCCTCCAAGGGCTCTTTAGCCACAGTATTTATATTGCCAATCTGGTTCAGTTTCTGTCAATGGGAAGTCCCCAGGATGTTGATAGTGGGGGAATTCAGAAATGGTAATCCCATTTGATATCGAAGGGTGGTGGTTAGATCTGTCCGTCATTCTGTGCCTCACTCGCCCTCGCCCCCTCTCTTATTGGGGATGGTCATTGCCTGGAATTTGGTGTGAACGTTACTTGCCACTTGTCAGCCCAAGCCTGGTTATTGTCAGAGTCTTGCTTCATTTGGACACGGGCTGCTTCAGTATCTGAAGAGTCACGAATGGTGCTGAACATTGTGCAATCATCAGCAAACATTCCCACTTCTGCCCTTATGATGGATGGAAGGTCATTTATGAAGCAGCTGAAGATGGTTGGTGCAGGACAGTACCCTGAGGAACTCCTGCAGAGATGTCCTGGAGCTGAGATGACTGACCTTCAATCACAACCATCTTCCTATGTACCAGGTATGATTCCAACCAATACAGACTTACCTCCTAACGTCCATTGATTCCAGGAACAAAAAAAGAAGTTGCTGGAAAAGCTCAGCAGGTCTAGCAGCATATATGAAGAAAAATCAGAGTTAACATTTTGATTTACAGCATCTGAAGTTCTTCTGACTTTTACCCATTGATTCCAGTTTTGCTTGGGCTCCTAGATGCCACACTCAGAAGTTATGTCAGGCCATGAGGTTGCAGATTGTGTTTGAGTACAATTCTGCTGCTGATGGTTCACAGTGCTTCATAGATGCCCAGTCTTGAATTGCCAGATCTGTTCAAAATCCCCTCTAGCATCTCACAACACAATTAAGAGTGTTCAAAATGTGAAGATGGAATGTCATCTCTTTAAGAATGACCACTGCACAAGTCCTTATTGATTATTGTCATGAACAGGTGCATCTGCTGCAGATTTGGTGAGGATTGGATCAAGTATGTTTTTCCCTCTTGGTTCCCTCACCACCTGCCACAGTCCCAGTCTAGCAGCTGTGTCCTTTAGGACTCAACCAGCTTTGTAATGGTGTTGCCAAGCCACTTTTGGTGATGAACATTGGACATTTGAAGTCCCTCACCCAGAGAATATTCTGCACCCTTGCTACCCTTGGTGCTTCCTCCAAGTGGCATTCAACATGGAGTATTGATTCATCAGCCAAAGGAGGCTTCCTTGTCCATGTTGGCCTGTTGCCATGAGACTTCGTGGAGTCTGGAGTCATTGTCGAGGACTCCGAGGGTAAATTCCTCCCATTTTCTATACCACTGTGCCACCATCTCTGTTGGGTCTGTACTTCTGATGGGACAGGACATACCTAAGGCTAGTGTTGTCTGAAACATCATCATAATCACAGAATTGTACCCTACAGACAATGTCAGGCTATTGTGTGACTAGTCAGAGACAGCTCTCTCAATTTTTGGTACTAGCCCCTAGTTAATGAGGACTTTGCAGGGTCAACAGAGTTGTTTACCACTGTTGGTTGACGCCAGGTGATCCGTCCGGTTTCATTCCTTTTGTTTGCTTTTCTAGTGGTTGATGCAACTGGTGTTCCAGAGGGCATTTGAGAATCACCCACATTGCTGTGGGTATGGAGTCACATGAAAGCCAGACTGGGGAAGGATGGTAGTTTCTTTCCCTAAGAGGCATTAGGGTACTAGATGGGATTTTATGATGATCAACCATGGTTTCATGCTGATCATTAGACTTCTAATTCCAGATTATTTTCAGATGAATTTAAATTCACCTAATGCCTCTTAGGGAAGGAAACTACCATCCCTCCCCAGTCTGGCTTCCATGTGACTCCATACCCACAGCAATGTGGTTGATTCTCAAATGCCCTCTGGAACACCAGTTGCATCAACCACTAGAAAAGCAAATAAAAGGAATGAAACCGGACGGATCACCTGGCGTCAACCAACAGTGGTAAACAACTCTGTTGACCCTGCAAAGTCCTCATTAACTAGGGGCTAGTACCAAAAATTGGGAGAGCTGTCTCTGACTAGTCACACAATAGCCTGACATTCTCTAAATTCCAGATGAATTTAAATTCCACCATCTGCTGTGCTGGGATTCAAACTCCAGTCCCCTGAACATTACCTGTGTAATGGATTCCCTGAATTAGACATCCAGCAATACCATGAGGTCATTGACTCCATGTTATTCATGGCTGAACTAGATAGATTTGATGAACAAGGGAGTCGAGTGTGCGCTCATGCCAAACAGGAAACTTGAGTTGAGACCACTGCTATATCAACTATATG